GAAGCCTGATACCTGTTAGGAAAATAGGGTTGTGGTGGTGTAGCTGGCAGCATAGCACAGGTTGGGGTGGGGAGGAATCTAACTCTTACAATCCTCCTCTGAGCCCATTCTTCCATAATCCTTGGTCATTATAGTCCCACAGCCAAAGATTCCAAATAATGAGAGCTCAGTGAGAGGGAGCATTGACAGAATTGAATGCAGTAAGGAGGATAATTATATTAAGCAAGGAGATGTTTTTGTGCTGTTTTATAAATGTATTGTCTTGGAATGCTATGAATTCATTTGTGCATACCACAGCCAATTTCTTAAAGACTCTGGATTGCTTAACATCACATACACAAGATTCCTTCTGCTAAATGATTTCAGTGAGAATGTTCCACTCTACCTCACTAGCTCCCTCTCTTCCCTCACCTTTCATCTCTCCCTTTCTCCTTCATTCCATCCTTCCTTTCCTTTGTTCTCTCTCTCTCTCTCTCTCTCTCTCTCCTATAATGTTTACTGAGTCTTCACTACATGCTAGTTACTTTTGTAGGCCTCAAGATCAGCAGTGAATAAAATAGTCATATATTCTAGCCCTAAAATTCTATATATCAGAGATAAATACACACAACAGACAGAAGTCTTCCTAGGATATCTGTAGTAAACCTTTGCCTGATCCCTTCTTAGTGTATCTTAATAAAGCATGACCAAGCACTACCCCACATCTGAACAGATGTACAAAATTAGGCCAAAAATCTTAAGCCAGATCATTTCTCCACCTTAATCCATGTTTCCTTATGTTTTTTTTTCTGTACGAATTACGTAACTCTGAAATAACTCCTGCATAACTCTGAAAATGTTTTAAAAATAAGAAATAAACTAAAGACGCACTTAGCTTAATGTGTTAACCTTCTCTTCCTAACACTAACATGAATCCAGTCAGTTATGTTTATCTTCTGAGAAGCTACAGCAGCATGCCCCCTCTCATTGACATGACTACTTTATTCTTAGTTTCATAAGTTGCATGAAGCTCGTTTTCCCTGACTATAAACCAAACTTAAAACCTAGGCTGTAAATGAAGCAACCACTGGGAATAAAACCTGTCCAAATATGTACCTTCTTCATCTCATGTAATGGCCTTCAGTCAGGATATTCTCAGCTTTAATTAGAAGCAAAAAGTACCTCCTGGTTTCTGAAAGTGCTCAAGGGCAACAAGAAACTAAACTGTCTCTCCTGAATAATCCCAAGCTCTCAGGTCTTAATTATAGCCTCTTGTGAGCAATTTTTATTAGTACAGTGTCAACTTCCAACAAAAGAGAGGCATCGTGGCAACAGAGCAGACTTTGTAAAGAGAGACAGACAGCTGGGGTGGAAGCCACTGGTTAGTTCTCACTTGGAGTGGGGAGGGGAAGCATTAAATACATTGGTAAATGGATTAAAGCAAACTTAAAAACATAAAAAGAATATCTTCCATTGCCTCATGTTGAAGTTGGGGCTGAGCATGCCTATTTCTGACAATTTAAAACTTCATAAAGTGAGTACTGTTTAGGGCAAATTAATTGCATTGAAAGTGAATCTATCAGTATGCTAATTAAGTATGTTCCTATTATTGGCCTGTATATATTTTATGTGCTCTGTAGGACATAGAGTAGAGACTGAAACCTTTCTGTATAAATAATTGAGAAGGACTTTATGTGTTTCACCCAGACTGAAAAGTCTCCGAATATATATTAATGGTAACCCAGTCTCTAAAAATAAACAGTGTCTGTTACTTACAAAGTCAGTTTTACATGGTTTTTCCATGCACAGAAAAAAAAAAGAGGTGTGGTTCCTACTGTGAGCACTTTTGAAGGTCTGTTTGATGATTTTGGATGACCCATAAATGCCAAAGCATTACTCATATACTGCTGGCTTCAGAGTAACCAAAATGATCGGAGTGATTGTATTTTAACTTCCTTCAGATGTTGGAAAATTACAAGTCTAGTGTTTCACAAAATAAAACTTCGCCTACGCACAGCACAGTGCCTGCCTTTATTTTAATGAATGGAATTCTTTAGACCTTCAGAATTGTGTGTGCAATTCTTCTCTAGGCAATAGTTAGAACTCACTCATTGATGGTACAAATGTGCAAAACTTAAAGTTGAGATCTGTATTTTGCGAGCTTCTACCAAAAGAAAACAGGCTTACTATTTCTACTCTTCTTTTATTGGCTCAGTATATTTTATTAAAAAGTAGGTAATGATGCTGTTTTGATAAGTGTTGGAGAGGAGGAAAAAGGCACATTTTCCTTCTCTACACTTTATTTGTAGGAAGCTGTTGACAAGGTAAGACTTAACTGGGGAGTGAACAGAGAGTTTGACATGTGTTGTCCTTCTTGAACACCAGCCTCCTGACTTGATGCTCTTCATGAAAGAGAATATAAGAAAATGGTAATTTTTTTAGTAAATTCTGAACATGTTTCTCTGATGCCCAAAGGTTTACAATAAAGCATTAGAGGAATTGACATGAAAGCGGGTACTGAGCTATTTGCCCTCATGTGCTGCTGTTTATGATGGAAACATTCTGAATGGGCTGAAATGTGGAGTAAAGACTTGTAGCTGGGGAGCTGAGCTGGCTCTGGACACCTCTCTCTGGCTAGTGGAATTTGTACCAAAGCAAATGCAGCCAATGGAGAGTCCCACATTCAGAAGCCATTCAAAAATTTAGCTATTATCAAGTATTTTTTTTTAAGGAATCAACTATCTAAGTCAAAATGAGCTAAGCTCAGGGGATTTTCATTTTAAATTGTGTATATTCCTTTGTACAAATGAGAGATTTCGTTATCTGGTTTTCATTCATCTGTGTCATGCACAGTGGTCTTATTCACTACGTCTCATTAGCTTCTCTTGCATCCTCTCTGTCTGTCACTTATCCCTTCTATACATATAGTCTACCCTCTACTTTATTGTCTTACATATCTCAAGGGAATTTTTACTATTAGACACCTAGAGAATTCCAGAAAAACTGGGATGCCAGATTCAAAACACAGGCAATGATTAAGAAAAAGTACTAAGAAGAGAACTAAACAAAAAGACAAAATTATTACTCAAAAAGGAGAGTGAAATGAGCCATATAATCCTAGCAGCAGGATGTCAGATACACCCCAGATGTTGCCTGTTTCCCCCACTGTGGCAAGCATTGGCCCTGAAGTTGTATCTTTCTGCTATATGCACTGGGAAATGTCTCTTTAAGTCTTTGTCTTTGCATCCTCACGTCATCTGCAATATCAAGATTATGAGTCTTCATCCTTTTACAAAACATGCAATAAGAGGATCTATGGTTCTTTGTTGAAGTAATTATTTAAAACGGCCTCAGGTCAAGCTGACTATCTAAGCTGCGGCAGCTCTGCCTAGCTCAGCCGCCATGTTTCTCGGCTGGAGGCCACATGCGTCCAGCAGCTAGAACTGGCCCGTCAGAAACAGCAGCCCTGCCACCCATGAGATGCCTGCGTGGGAGATGGCTCTGTCAATCCTTCATGCTGTCTCCACAAGGCTGGGCATTGTCCAGACCGTCCCGCCATCCATGCAGGCCCAGGAGAAAGAGGAGACTCTAATGCTTAAAGATTAATCAAAGGCTTATATATTTGGAAATGATCAGTAACAAGATACCCATACAGTCAGAAGTGTAACCCAATACCCAACCTAGATATACCAACTACCTTTGACTGCTACAGACACGTGAACATCTGCCTCCATCTCTTCTCCCTCCTCCTCCTCCTCCTCCTCCTCCTCCTCGTTCTCCTCCTTCTCTCTCTCTCTCTCTCTCTCTTGTGTTCTCCTCTCCTAGCTCCTCTTCCTTTTCCTCCTTTGTTCCTTACTCCTCCTCTTCCTCTTCCTCTTCCTCTCCTAACTTCTCCCACCTTAGCTCCTCCTACAGTTCCTTACCTATGTGGACACGGAGAACAAGGTATAATTCTTCACTCCATTCCTTGTCCAGGGTCTGGATGTACTAGGTAACCAACATCACCACTAACAACTACAAGACATATCCTATTGGACCTTCCCATCTGGGAAGGAGATGCTATTAAAATTAATTTGCAAAATAAACTGTTAAATATTATAAAAATGGTGCTTCCACCCAGCCTATGTATAACCCCACTTCCAATCTGTGCCAAAGCACTGCAGCACTCTCCTTCTCTTAAGCCCTCCCTCAACCTACAAATCAAGGGGTGAGGCGAACTGAGACAACAGTCTTTAACTCAAATGTGAAGGTGTCAGTAAACACAGGTGTCTTTGGAAGGACAAACTCACCATTTCATGCTCAGGTCTAGAAATAGATTTTGTTTAAAAAATCCATCTCAAAGTTTAATGTATTCCTGTCAAAATCTAGAAAGCAGGATGGAAATCCTGGATGGAAAGGCAGTCAGTGTAGCCCTCAGCTTTGTTAAAAACATGTCCTGGAAAAGCCAAGTGGTCTGCCTGCTCCCACTTTTACAAAGGCAATGAGCATCCTAGTAACTGTGGTAGCCCTCAGTATTACAGCGTGAGGGACATCACATCTCTAGAGTGTAGTGTAGTACTGACAGACTTGAATTCTGGACAGTAAGACATTGGGTTGGGGGTTGGAGCAGCGTTCTGTCAACAAAAAAAAAAAAAAAAAAAAAAACATCTAGCTGGTTAATTCCCACCATCAAATCATATTTCACTGGCTTTATTTTTCCCAAATATAAAATTTACAAATGGGATTTTTTAGTAAGTACTAAATTTTACTTTGTGCCCTGAAGATCTCTCTAACAGGCCTAAGCATTGCAAACAAGGTCTTGTCTTCTCCCCTTTGTAAACCATTAGATTCATTTAGCTACTTCCACATTCCTAAAGCTAGCCACCAAGGTGCATTTCCTTATTTGACTTCTTTTTGCCTGACTCTCACCTGAGGCTGAACACCAAGGTGCATCAACCAAACCACCAAGGTACAGCATTCAAACTTCATTATTTGGCTGCACTAGGTATCCTGTCCAATAAGGACTTACGGATTCATCCTAGCACACACTTCCCCTTTTCTCCTTAAAAAAGCACTACTTGGGCAGGAGCCATGCTAATCTTCTCTGTATTGTTCCAACTTTAGTATATATGCTGCCAAAGACCAGCAATCTCAACTAACCCAGACCCCCGAGATCTCTCTGATCCTGAGCTACCAACCAGGCTGCATACAACAGCTGATATGAGGCCCTGGACAGACACATATACAGCAGAGGACTGCCTCGTCTGTCCTCAGTGAGAGAAGAAGCACTTAACCCTTGAGAGACTTAAGGCCCTAGGGAGTGAGGAAGTCTGCAGGGTGTGTGTGTGTGTGTGTGTGTGTGTGTGTGTGTCTGGGTGTGGTGGTGAGGACATCCTCTTGGAGACGGTGGAGGAGGAATGGGATGAGGAACTGTCAGAAGGTGGACCAGGAGAGGGATAACCACTGGACTGTAAAAAATGATTAAAGACTAATAATAAAAAATTTTAAAAAGTAGCACTCCTATAGAGCTTCCTCTGACTGTCTTTTCCCAATCCAGTGGTAGTTCCCCTCTTCATTGTCCCCTCCCCAGTAAATAAATCTCATTTATGCTGAGAATTTTGTGTCTGGGTGTGTTCTGTGCAAACCCCAAGGCTTCTTGATTGTTACCAAGACTGATAGCGATTCAAATCAATCTCTAGGACCTCAGTCCAGTTCTCATACTTTCTGGACCAACCTGTTCCCTTTATCTAACATAGGCTAATTGATGAATTTTCCTTAATTATCAGTCTTAAAGACTCCTCAGAACATCAGGGTAGTCCCGTGTCTGGTAGGAGTGGGGAGAACTCACCCTGTCGTAGCTTGCAAGCAAGCCACAGTGCCTTCCTCCAAATGACCCCTTAGGCACACTGAGCTGTGGAAAGGTTGGCTACCTCACAATACTGGAAAATGTTCAGAAAATCTGTCTTTGCTGCATTTTTGCCTCCTCAAAATCCTGTTGACAGGCACTGGATTTTTCCTGGACATTAGGTATTCCTCCTGCTGAAAGGGTCATAGAGATCCCCCTCTCTCTCTCCAGGACTCTCTGGGATCCAAGACCCTGAGACCACTCAGTTGTCTTAAGGAAGCCTTTAACTTCAACTTTGGTCTTTTGGTCACATCTACTGATGATAACTGCTTCAACCAACACCAACAACACCACCATCGCCATCTATTTGCCTCTGGGATGTCCCTTAAAGAATCTCAAAGGATTCTAACTTATATGACAGTACTGGTGCACTCATGAATGGCCATTATACCCCTCTGGTAATCAAACAAGAAACCTTTACAATTTTTATGGGCACTGAAAGATGGAAGGAAATCCCCTTTTACTCTTCTCCCTCCCTGCCTGGCCCTTTCCAGACATTGCAGAACTGTCTCTGCATTCCAGCTCTGCTCCAAGCCTTCCCCTTACACTTTCTGTTCACTTTCCCCTTACACTGTGTCTCACCTCCTCCCTGTCTCACCCTCCCCCATGGCCAGGAGATTGCCTTCAGGCCAATCTGCTGCATCTGCTACTGTGCAGCTCCCTCCTGCCCTAAAGCCTTTGATCCCACTGATTAAAAACCCCACCCCTGCCCTCCTCCTGGCCTCTCTTTCCTTCCTTGACATCCCCTTCCCTCCAGTCCCTTTTCTAGTCCTTCTGCCTCTCATCTTGGTCCAGGCTATCTCTCCAGGTCAGTGGCTCTTCTCAATTAAATTTGACCCCGAATTCTAAAACCTAACTTCTTAGTTCCTTCTCCTATCCGAGTGCTCTAACCGGTCTCATTCTACAGCCTCCCAAGATACCACCCAGGGCAATCATCTGAAATCTCTTGACTCTGGCCTCCTACACCTGTCTGAGTATCTCTACAAATGGCCTGTATGCTCCCCTTTCCCCTGTCTTCTCCTCTCATTCTTTCTCTTGCTTCCCCCTGAAAGATGCAATCTTACCTTTGGCAGCCTGGGACTCTTTCCCTTGTTTCCTCCCATTAGGGGCTACCTGCTCTACCTCTCTTTACGCCTTTTTGAGCCTGTTCATGGCCTTGCCTCTTTCCTCTAGGAACTGCAAGTCCCATCTGCTCTCCCACTCTGCTACCTCTCAGACTCTGGTCCTGCCGATGGCCTATGATCCTTTGTTGCTCATACTACTTCTCTATACATTTTTGGCTTCTATGGTATTTTATGGCCCTGTCCTCTCTCAGCTCCTTCCTGCTATATACTGCGACTCCTTTCCTCTCCTGCCCTTTGGATTCTGCTGCTTCCTTAAGCCTTTCCTGGCCTGCACAACACTTTTCTTGCCTCTCTCAGCTCCTGCCTCCAGTCTCTTGCAGCTTCTGCTCTTAGCTCCCTCCCAAAGCCTCCTCTTTCCCCTAGGAGCTGCCTGCTCTGCATCTTCCTAGGCCTCCTAGGAAGAGCTTGGCTCCTAGGCTTCTCTTCCTCCCTCAGATTCTCTATGCTTGGGCCCATGGGGGGCCTATGCTCTCTCTCAGCTTCCTCTTGGAGTTTATAGAAATTCCCTCCAGCAGAACTTCATTTTTTCAACCTTATTTTCTTCCTTTGCAGATTTACATTAATAAAAGCTGACTTAGAGATTTATACCTACCTACTTATGTCTTTGTTAACTGTTCAACACCAGGTTTCTAATGAATTTAATTAGGAAATAACAATGTACATTTGATAAATAAGGTGTATTTTTTGAATATTTTTCTTTTTTATTAGTAACTTTTAAAAAAAATGTTAATCAAAGGCTTTATAAGTTTGGTAATACTCAATAACAAGATCCCCATACAATCAGAAGTGTAACCCAATACCCAACCTAGATATACAAACTATCTTTGACTGGCAGAGACAGGTGAACATCTGTCTCCATTCCCCCCCCCTCTCTCTCTCTCTCTCTCTCTCTCTCTCTCTCTCTTTCCCTCTCTCTCCTCTTAGCTCCTCCTCTTCTTCTCCTCCTCCTCTCCTTACTCCTCCTCTTCCTCTCTTTACTCCTCCCACCATAGCTCCTACTACATATCACCCTTCCTGTTAAGATAAAACTTTTCTCTCAAAATACAATTAGAGCATAACTATACCAATTTATACCAGTAAGGTACAAAATAGACCTAATACCCAGTCCATCATTTTGTAGACTAACCAGAACCTCTGTCATCTCTCCTAACTAAAAGACTTAGTTCTGAACCTCACTTTTTTTTTTTTTTGGCTTTAGAATGAATGTCAGCTGAAAACCATTCTCTCAAATCTTTTCTCTCAAAGTAGCCGGGATTGGCTATGAGACTATAAGTCTTCTACCCTGTCAGAAATTCAGAATGACTGAATTAACTGAAATTATAGGAAGCACAAAGCATAGCTTCTAAAACTTAGTCAATTTATAGAGACTGCTGAACACCTGGACAGTTCCTAGACTACAAAACATTGGAGCATCCGATCTTCAGCCTTCTGGCTCAGGATCATCTGACAGACCTAGTGATGCAGAATTATTAAGGGCTGATTACTCTGTCATGGCAGATATAATCAGTCAACTATTCTGCAAGTGTGTCCTTTTCACAACAGTAATTTGTCTGTAGATGAAAAGAGGCCATTCTTGCCTAGTGGCTGTCTCACCACAACTGGAGTAACCCCAAAGATGCTCAATTTCTTCTTAGAATCCAAGACAGGAAGCTGTCAAGAGCAGACAGGTCTCTAATCAAAATGAACATTACAGAAATGTTTGTAACATCAATTCTGTGGACCGCTGACGTTTTGAAAACAAACTATCCATATAAGGCAATCTGGACTGTTGTCTGTTAACTCCTCTCAGCTATTTCTAAATAAAATATAGAAAACACCCTAACAATAAACTCAGAGCCATGAACTTGCTATAGGCCCTTAACTCACAGGCAAACCATCTCAAATCAGTTAAAAAAGTTAAAGAAGGACTGGGTCTAAGTCTTGTATTCCTAAATGTGTTATATAGGCACAATGCCTATGAGAGTAACAATATTAATCTCACTTTTATATCAGTAAGAAATTCATACCAATGAAAACCTTAAATTTGAAATTTTGTACCATTTAAGAAATTATAACTTCAGCTTAATAACAATTATATAGATTTCTACCAATAGGTTATGGCTATGCAATAAATCTTAGATATTCCTCCCTGTTCCAACAAAACAACTACTTTCCCTAGAAAGACAGCCTAATATTAACCACCTCAAGCCCAGGGAATAGGAGTGTCGACTCTTCATTAACTTCTTCAAGCTGATTATGGGCATTGAAATATTAAAAAAGGGGTAGGGGGAAGAGTAAATTGATAAGCCTCTGAAGTCTGTGTCTTCACTGCACCCAGCTGAAATTCCAGGACATCAGAGGTTGGAGCAGGTTTGTTCTGCTTGCTTGATGAGTGGATACACCAAGGCTGTGTATTCTGCAATATACAATTCTCAAAACAAATTTTAGTATCAAGATAATTTTTTGTTTGAATTCTGGAATCTAGTCTTCTGGCAAATAAGGTATATTTGATAAACAAAATTTAATAAATCCTAAGAATTACTCAGCTTCACAGAAATATTGTTTTAGTTTCTTTATGTTTGCTCACTTTGCTAAATTTTAACAATCTTAATTTCTTAATTTAAATTTAATTTAATCTAATTTGCCAAATTTAAAGTTTAACAAGGTTTAAAGCTTATTTCCATAAATGAAGTCATACAAAACTATGATATACTATTTTGATACTAAAGATAATTCAATTAAATGTTTAGTGCAAATTTTTAATGCTCAAACCTACCAGGAATAAAGCTATAAAATCCTAGTCTAATAAAAAGCTATCAACTTAAACTGTTATGTAACATATTTAACGACAAGCTTTATTTAGCCTCTTGTATGTGTTTTTTAAGGGTAAACCTAAAATCAAGTATACTAAATAGATGGTCCTCAACCTCTTCAGAGATCTGCTAAGTATGGCATTTAAAATGTTTAAGCTTCCCGTAAAAGAGAACAACGCCCCTTCCTAATGGGAATCTTATGATCTCACAATATAATAGATTGTATAAAACAACTCCACCTGAATTACAGTAATCCTAACCACTGGTCAAATGAGTCCCATGCCTTGCCTGCAACCAGTGTTCTGCCCAAACTGTGAACAGTCGTGGG